GAAGTACACGAAAAAAAAAAAAGAATACTACTCATTAGATAATAGGTATTTACTGGTACGTATGTTATTACAACTAATATGAATTATTATTATTATTATTGAGGACAAGTATTTTAAGTTGAAGCGGTTTCGAAACTTCCATTCTCATTCAAATTTGATGTCGAGAACACGACTCATTTGCATAAATGACCAGCTTATGCAAAGAGCGTACACCAAGCATCACTCGTACCATTTACGTTTGGATATGTTTCCGCATAGAATACTTCTTTTTAACTTGACTGATTTAAAAAAAAAAACCGTGTTAACCTCTGTTACTTTCTGAGAGTTAAAGGCGGTGTATTTCAGGCTGTGGCGGCCAGGACACTTACGGCCGCAGTTATTCTGGAAATCGGTAGCTTGCGGTCTACGCAGCTAACGACCGCTATCGTCAGCGAACATGTTCAGCTTTAGAACTCGCGATGACTTCTTCCCATTCCAGTACACCGTTTTTTTCAACACTTCGAACAGCCCGATACGATTATAAAAGAGTATCGATACGAAACGTAGCTAAGGGTCCTAACATTGTGGATGAATACAGAAGCTTCTATTATGCCTTATAGTATGTTCGCAGACCTACGCTACGTATTCGCATCGTATGCGAACGCCTATTTGTGCGTAGATAGAATAATTTCGAGGAGTTTGAAACTAAATTTCGTTGGCAAGTGGTTAAATCGGTCTTCTTGTACACTATGAAGGCCGTTTTGAATAGCCCGTGGAATATGTGGCTACAAGAGAAACAGCGGTGGACTCTTCATCTAAAAAATGTTATATTTTGTGTTTGGAGGGCCTGATTTACTGCGAAATGCCTCCTGCAGACCCAGGCACGTTTATTTGCTTCACTTGTCCCGAGTCAACTAGATTAATTTTGAGAAATAGCTTATAGAGAGAAATAGAGACAACGCGAAGTCACACATTTCAAACATCGTCAAAACAGCCATTCTAGACCCTTAAATGAGAGGTTTGATTGCACTCTGCGTATCCTCCGTACCATGCGCTGACGAACTTTCATTTTTTGTGTTCTCTGAGCAATTACGTTTATGGCTTTATCTTCGACAGTAACCAAAATCTCAAAAGCGAACTTTTCTATTCAATAAAACTTAGCTTCCATCCTAATATTTGGATGTGCTCAAAAGGGTGGAAAGAAGCTAATACGTGAGTAATACATTGTACACGCTCCATTCACTACTAAAAATCTGACAGTACCCTTGTTACAATGCCTTGAGGAGTTACGTTCGCTTTCATGCCATAGTTACTTCCATGTGCACTAGCTGCTCTGTACATATGCGGTTCATCTGTATATATGCGGGATTTATTGGGCCGCGCGCCTGAGAGTGTGCATTAGAAACCAAGCCAATCTTATCTCTCTAGGCCTCATCAATTGAATCTATTTGAATAAACAGTATTCGGCTTGCCATTGAGCGTCTCTGGACTAAAATCAGATACTGCTCACTCACACAATTCTTTTAGAATGGCTATATTGCTACTGAAATAACTTTCACCTTATCTTTACTAATTTTTGCAAACACTATAGTAATATCTTAAGTAAATTAGGGTTAATATAACCCTAATTTACGTAACCACTACCCCTGCGATCCCTTGTGACGGCGATCCGAGGCCTTGTATTTGTTGTGACGCCCAGCTAGATAAGTGCTCTTTCAGTACCAATTTAGCATACCGGTATTCCATTACACGGCGAACTCTGCGTGCTTCGTTTGGCATCTTCCATAAGTCCTTGGACTAAATACTTCACTTAATTAAAGAAAAATGAAATTCAAGTAAAAGCGAAAAACTACTCGGATAAATATTGTACAGCGCAGCGCTACGCCATTTTTCACGAACTTAATGATTATCTATTTCGTTTGTTGATATACAGGCATTTTCCATAGTAGCGTGAGGGATGTAATCCACTATTTCGTAAGAATAACGCATAAGATGTTCATTATGTTCTATTCCTGGTCTTGGGTCGATATTTGCTTTAATACTACTTGCCTTAAATCAGCTTTTTCTGCTTGAAATTCATATGACCCACCCCCTAAGCTCATTACGTTTTTTTTTATTGTTTATAAATTTCATTGATGTTACTGCTCTTCGACCAGAATAATTCTGGATAAACAGTTTTTTTATTTCGATTTATTATCAACTGAATATAGTGACGTGGTGACTTTCTATCGTATTCTGTATGGAGGAACTTACTACTGGCCCACACTTTTTCTTCACGCGGATGAATGACTATGTTCTGCCCTCAAGCATTCTACGACACATCAAGTCTGTAGTCGCAATTATTAATATTTGACATAACATATGACGCTATAGGCAGACACTGCTGTCTCTTTTGGTCCTATTCGCCTTTTTAGACAAGCTCTTGAAATAAACATTTTATCGTAGGCAGATGTGCGGGAACACTACCGCATTCATTGGCCTACGGAAAAGCTGGTTGTTAACTAGGGCCGTGAAGAACTAGAGACAATTACACGGCGACGTATTACTCGATGTATATGAGTATCTAGTAATATCTCCATTGCTATGACAATCTCGTTTTTTTTACAACCCTTTCGTAGCCGGTTATGAGAATTCAAGGTCTGGGGGGTTTTGGCCAGATGTGTCATTTAGCGGTATGGTGAGGTGCCCAGAAGATAGATGAAACAGTTCTTCTAACAATATACGTTTACGGTTATTGTTGCATATGCTTTCAACTTTTTACGGGAAGTCAGTGGAATCTAGTAAAATGACTGATATCGCCAACTATTTATTTAGAAGTGGAAGGGTCAATTTCGTATTCGTGTTCGCATAAAGGCATTCGTTATTTCGACCGTTATAAACGCTATCAACTTTATCATCATTTCAATGTTTGGCTCGAATTATATAAAAGGCACACGTAACACAACACGCTTTATTATTTCTACGAACGGTGGCTTAATAGCGCTCTTCAGCAATAGACCATTGTTACCTAGCGGACGTCCGTCACCACCAGGTGTACCCAATCATCTGGAGTCATAGACTTGAATTACTACAAAACAAAAAGCAGGCATAAAGTTCCAACATAATTCAGATTTCCATCAATTCAGTTGAATTTCATTTGGTGTGACAGGTAATTCTTATTGAATTTAGGAACATGCAAGGCAATGTAGGTTCGAACTCAGGCGTAGGCGCACATGATGACAGGAAACAGCCATCTAAAGTTGGATATGATGTTGATGATTTATTAGCGAGTCGCCTTATATTTATATAGAACCAGCAAACGATCTTTCTCAGCATTTTGAAGCAGCTGTACGTATTGTTAATTTAATTGTATATAGACATCTCAACAGCACCTCGCACGGTGTCCTTTTAAAACTAATTTCCTTGTGATACTCCTCCTGTTGTCTACAATTTAAGTTAACGGATCAGTAATGCGGTCTCAAATAATCATCTGATAATTTCCACCAGGTTCGATTCTAGGCTTGTTTATACTTATTCTTTATATAAAAGATGGGGGAATAGGACGTTTATATAAATGTTCCATTTTCCCCACATCGAATCCCGTATATATATATATATATATATATATATATATATATCATTTGTTTTAAGGTATAAAACAAATGCGCACATTGTTCCCTAACGCAGATACGCACGGCTTTCATACTACATTAGATTACGTTAAATAGCGCTAGACACGTTCGGCCATTTCAAACAGGGAATGTAGTCCACGATGCTCCATAAACATCGCGGCGAGTAGCATTCAACAGCGCACCTATCAATCACTCTCATCGTTCATCATCAAAATGTGTCGGCTTGACGTTTGGGCAAGCGTCAGACTGGGCTAATTATCTTCTTTAAATTAGATCCAAACTACTGTGTTTGCATCCCAATGTTATCTAGATTTTGAATTTTGCCAATACGCACGTCTGTACGTTCCGTTCTTAAACTAAAGTACACTGTTATGGTCTGGAGCAAGACATTTTCTAAGCACTGAGATATTGTATCAAGGGCCAAGCGTCAAACTGTTCGAATTGTTGTTGTTGGTGTTGTTTTTGTTATATTATTAAATTAATTAAATTACAAAATATCACCTTTACTCTTTTACAGGTGACCCAAATCAATATCGAATAGTTTATTGCCGTTTTTGTTTTCCAAGGCGCCGTTAAAAGTTCTCGCCTAACTTTCATTTTCACTAATCTGTCAGGTGTGAACGTGACAGCGTTATGTTATCAACTGCTAGGAATTCTTTATCCATTCTCAGTATCACATTGTTTCCTCCATTATCATCGATGTAGTTCTATTTCGTAATTTTTGCTTACAGGACGATTCTAGGGTAAGCCTCTTCAACTCAATGTCCATATCATACAACATCTACCTGACACGCCCCGTCCTACCCCCACCCCACCCAACTCAGCATACGTGTTCCGCCGGCTGATTCGTCCGCTAACCAGCCGGCGTTAAACCTTGAGAAAGGATATTCTAGCTAGACCTGTGAGAAATCGGAGGAAGGTTAAATATTCTACTCCTCCCAGACTCTTTTTGTTTGCGGCACCCTCGCGCGAAAACCTCCCACGCGGGAAATCTTACCACTACTAAGCCAGCTGGGCGTTGCAAGTAGCTGGTTCCTCCATTCGGCTATCAGATAGGAGAATTTCCGCTACTGTCATAACTCGCCCTGTTGTTACACTGCCAAGTATCTTCCCCTAACACCAACACGTCCCACAGCCCATAGATTTAATCTTTTCTTTTCCTTCAGTCGGCGTTAGGGACAGTCTCTGCGGTGGTCTCTGCCCTTTCTTCACCATCCTCCTCGATCTCACTCCCTTTCCACTCCGGGCCCCATTATCAGTGGCTTTCAACTCCTATCGGGGTCCTTTACCGCCTCCTGAACTCCTCTATACCAGTACAAATATCACCCGTGGGTTGGGTGGTTTCGAATTCGTTCTGCCCAAGATGGCGGAGGTTGTTCGTTCCATAATCCTTTATCGATGTGTGTGTGTTCTAATGAAAACAACGAATGGTTATCCGAGAGTGGATCCAGCACGCGTTCGGTAACGTGTTTACCGCACGATTCAAAGCTTCGCACCGAATGTGTTCGCATCCTCACAGTGATCACTCACCCGTGATAACCAGCCGCCCTTGAAAGGATAATATCGTTTCATGCCGGGATACACAAAGAGAGTGTGTGCGCGCGCAATATCATGTAGCAGTGTTCGTTATCTTGTTCCACCTCCTGGATAGTACTAGTTAGTTATCTATCGTTTCTTTTGTCGTGTATAACGTCAAATGCCAAGGTAGCAAAGTAGCCATACAACGTCTACCTGTGTGATCGGTGAACTGATTTTCGAACATCATAATACTTCAGTGTTCCTTCTATTTCTGTCCGTTTTTCGTCATCATTGTACTTTTCTCTAATTCCTTTCGGTGTTGTTGTACTCCGTGGTGCCCGATGCTAGCGTACTGAAACGGGTGTGAACTGGCGAAAGCGAACGAAAGCATTAACTTCTTTTCACTACGGCGCCATCCGTGCCGTTTCCGGGGACCAGTCGTTCGCGGTGGGCTTCGGCGCCACACCGTGGAGGGCCACGGGTCCCCGCCACCGTCAGTACCTCCTTTCTGAGGTACGGGGAAGCTCGGTACGTCACCTCCCGTACAAAGTGAAGCCAGCCGGAATTTAAACGTAGGTCTGTGCTTCGTTATAAGTACCGCCCGATCTGGGCAGTACGTAGGTGCTGGTAACGAATACGGCACAACTACAAAACCCGGGTAGCTCGCAGAGTGCAGGCGACAAGATGACCTGTACAAAAGCGACGACACGAGGACTGTCGCTCGATCTCAGTTCGCCGTTTAGCCCGCACGTATCGGATCTACGCAGCCCGGAGGATATAAATTTAAACCTTTACAACTTCGACAAAGTAGACGCTCTCAATTGCCCATATGTCTTAACGAGTCCACGCTCGCTTGAAGCCTGTGCCAACCTCGGAATCAAACCGGTCGAGCTTTTGTCTAAAAGCTTCGAAGAGTTTCGCGACGAACTGCCCAGTTATACGCCGTTCGAAGAAGTCAAACACCTCTATAAATTATTCGAAATTCAGAGAACGAGTGAGTATATATATATATATATATATATATATACATACATACAGAATGTTTGTCAGGGGGATTTTAGTCCTGTATCTTTACGTATATGTAATACGCTTGAGGTGTATATCGATGCTACGACGTTGTAAGCCACGTACCACGTAGGAACCGAACCCCTATCTTAGTAAACAGAGAATAGAATGGGTCAAGAGCAGTGCTCAACGGCAGTACTGGACGTAGCGTTCGAAGCGTTCACTAGGCCAGAAAAAGGACAAAACTGTTATAGGCTCATGGTTATTTGAAAAAAACATTACTTTCGACAACATCGCTACAACGTTCCTGTCAGTTTATATCGCAAACAGACGTTATCTTAATGAAATGAATAACACGATGCTGAAACGTAAGCTTGGATGTTCGAACGTGTTCATGGTTCAGCTATGATAGTCCAGTGAGAATCAACAATAAGCTTAAAGGAAAAATCCCCATAATACTTAAAGCGATAAGCCACTTCAAAGATCAGGTGTTCTATCTTCATATAACAATCCATTAACATTTTGTTGATTGTACAAACAGCAGTAAATGTTAATGAAATCCGTGCGTCGCTAACGTTAGTCATCGGTGAAATTTTTGGCGGCCAATTCTTTCATTTGATCCGTAAAAACATGTTGAAACGCGCCTCCAGTGTTTAATAAAATACAAACGTTATTATTCATTTAAGCCAGATATGTTTATTCTGGTTTCTTGATTATAACGAAATATTTTACATTGCACATTACCTGTAAGTGTACCATATCTGATGGAGGGAGTTCGCTATGTTGACACAGTGTCTCGACAATTGTTGTGCTCCGACTGAATTTTTTACGTTTTATGCTTCGTCCTGTCGTTAGGTATTACTTGAAACAACTGGCTCTTCCGACGAGATGTCCGATTCCGTTGTCGAGCCTAGGCAGCCACAGGTTCGAATTTAGTTGATAAACATGTTAGCGCTACACAAACATGGGGACTTGAATGGGCTACTGATAGATATCGCCGATTGCTTTCAGTTACATTATCACATTATATTACGTCTCAGTGGTCATTTTTGTGTATACTCAATTCAAGGTACTGTAGTTTTCCTTTGTATATTTTATGTCCTATCTAAACCTTTTTCGTGGCTGTGCATAAGCCAGTTGACACGATAACACAGGCTTGCGTTTGCATTCTGAGTTACTATTTTTTACACATAAAACATGTTAAAATTGTAGTAACGACCGTCGGAGTTAGAAGAAGAGGTCCCTTAGACCTCTAGTATCTGGAGTTTACGTTTGTACCTCAGAGGTTAACGGTGGAGAATATTTCAAATATTATACAATGAGATGGAACTGGTGAAATCTATCAGGAAGGAGCACCTCACAGCCAGCCACTCGTCCTGCGTCCATATAACCGTAGGCATATATTTGAACTATCATACATTTATGTTGTCGATTACAACTCGGCCACACTTATCCAACGGAGTGTACTTATAAACTAGCCGGGATCATCCTGCGCATGATTTTACGTAGCGCTGTGTAGATCCTTTTCGTAATTTCTATGGACATGCACCACGATTCCGTTGCTTCTAGCAGGCGGCATGGCCTTCGACGTTGCTGAGGTTGCCTTACATTACTCCGTGGTGGCAGACCCAGTCGAGCTTAGTTGAGCCTCCCATCGTCGTTGCTAAAGTAGCGTACGTGGCGATTGTCGCTATTCGCCTCCTGCAAACAATATTTCTCTGCATATCATCATGCTGAAGACTTTTGTCTGCACCTGGATGACCTTGATGACACTTAGAAATCATGAAAGCCTCGGCTGCTTGCAAAAGCACGGGTCGTAATTTCCTTGCGCCGAAGCAGTGGAGGATGGCTTACCTGATCAAGAAGCCGCTCATTGTTCAACCTTCTTACAGTACACTAATCTCTGGCGCACTTCGGTAGCTCGGCAGTTAATGCGCCGTAAGATCGGCATCTCCGTGAAGGTTCGTGGTGAGGGAGCTGGTAGGATGACCAGATTGAACCACTGGTTTGGTGGTGCTTAAACAAGAAAGTTCGCTTGGGACGTTTCCGCCAGCAAATGTTCTACTGCTCCGACAGATAATCTCGCGCCGCCTAGAACAATATAACAGCGCCGCAGTAAGAAGGTAGTGAAAAGTGCTGATCTCGTGGTTCGACGAATGCTACCTCGAAGTACATTAAGGTCAAGTTTCACACCCAGCTCATCTAGCAGATACCGCTTGCTAGTCACGAATTCACTAAACGTTTAGCCTGCCTCTCTGTAGCAATTCAAGAACTCTTCGGCAAGCCGGCCTCCTCTGGAAGGAAGCGTTTGAACAGTTCCCTCTTAAAGCTCTCTCACGCCTCCCTTGCATCGAAAATGCTGCCATGCTTCATCATAGTGGTAGCGGTGGGATATTTGGCAAGAAGGGTCAACATCGCAAAAAACAGCTCGAACACAAGTGATTGGAAGTCGTCTCTTCCGGAGGTCAACACAAGGAAGCCCAAGCGATGGATTGAAAAGTACGAGTGGCTCGCGAAGAAACAACAATGGTCAACGGACCAGGTCGCAGTGTATAACCATTTGCAGGAAGTGATTCGCACTTGGTTTGGTTTGAAGATAAGTGCAATATATAAACCGAACTTCGATTTTTTTGTTTATACGGTTATGATCGGAAAATTTTGCAGTATTCTATCGCTTGGCTATCGACTCAAAGTAAACCTAAAAATTACTTAGGTGTATTGCTAATAGCATCTAAGCTGAAACATTCAGCTTTCCCCAAATATGACTAAGATCGCCAATGGAGCCAGCGGATTCTAAAACGACTATTACTATTCTATGAACGCACACAACAAATGAACGGTTTAAGTGTTACGTTCCATACTGCTTTAAATAAGTTCTCCTGGGGAAAGTGGGTTCCCTGCACAAAACAGAGTGCGTCTGGTCTCAAACCGCAGGTCCTTGGGGCGTATTCAAATCGAAACTATCAAACAGCGCCTGATACACGCATATAAAAATAGGGATTCCGCCTAATTTTAGTTATTCATGTCTGCATTAGCTGTAGTGCATGGGAAATGAGCCGTCTCTCATTGCCCAAATTTATAATAAATTCATATGTGCGTTATAGGTTGAAAACTCGGAAGCCGAAGGTTTCACGCTTTCTTCTCTAGGTTCGTAAAATGTGGCGACCTCTAGAAATGCATTTTGATATACCTCCGTACCTGCTAAATGAACGTAACGAATGGCTCCCTCAAGGGTCGTGTTAATATATTTTTAAACCCGACTTCTTGCTGTGTGCGCAGACTAGAGGCTAACCAGGCTTTCAGTACCTTATTCTAAGGAATCCACTATTAGGTAACATTTGATGGAAGAACAATTAGATAGGGTTAGGCATAGTTTTTACCGGTAGAGAATCGCTTTTATTTGAAACAGGCTCTCAGAAGATCAGTAATAAAATTTCAGCCACGAAACAGTTTACAATGTATAGCACTCGATATTTGCAATTCAATGTAGCCGCAACATTGTGGATTAGGAGGTTTTACAGGAAACCAAAAAATGTTTTTTCGTCCAGGGCAACCTTAGCTAGGGTTAATAACCCCCAGCAGCATAAAACTGACGTGTTTATCCTGAGATTCTTACAATACCAATAAGCGGACACGTAGGCACCATACATGAGGGACTACTGGCTTTCATAAGTCAACAATCTGTAGTTTTTTTGTACACGATTTTTTTCTCTGTAAAAGATGTGTGCTAGTTTACATTTTCTGCACTAGTTGTGCTTGCCCCTATATTTGACTCATAATATTTTTCCGCTTTTCGCGTTCGTCTTTCATCTTTGCCACCACAACAGAGTCGCATGTTAATAGATTTGCCATTTATGCATAAGCTCTTCACAGACTCGTAGGGAGAGGTCGATGCGATTTGAATCTGCAACTTTTTTTTAACAAGCTGGCCTATAACACCGCATTTATTAGCGCCTATGCCTCCGCAGAACAGGGGAAGAGCAGCCATATTGCTGCAACAAGCGTGAGGCCGCCGGAAGTAGTCTTTTAACTTAGATAACTGCGAATCGTAGCTTAGAACTGGCTGCGTTTTAGATATCTGGCAGTTGTTTTCTCCCGGAGCTATTTGCTCAAACATAGTTGATATTAACATTATCGCATTGTTACTGCATGTTTAAAAGTGTCCACACCTAAATAAAATGCTAAAGGTTTTAGTCTCAAAAGTACACAAACAGGCCAAGGGCGCATTGACATTTGCGACGTTAGAGAGATTTGCCGGAGCGTCAAAGTGGGTAGTTCTTCAAGGATTTTTGCTGTTACGGAAAAGGTTACGTTTCACTTAGTCATCATTCTCTACAGTGTTTTATTCTGGCACAATATAGGCCTGATTTGATTTTTTTACATTCAAACTACACAGTGTTAAAGCGTACTACGCTACGTAGCTACGAGGAGCGCGGTAGTGAACCTCATCCCTTCCGTGCGTATCTAAAACACTTCAGAGCTACAAATCCCGAGGGTTGTTAGCCAAAGACAATACAAAATCGTGTTCAGAAGGCCATATTTCGATCTAGATTTCGCCAAAAGCCCTCCTTTAGTTTCTAACTGTAGTTGCAGGCGTCTACAAACGGATTATTTTCACTTCGCACAATTTTCCTCTTTGTTTTTTTTTCAAATAACCTACAGTTGTGATACGTGGATACCAAAGTTTGACGCGACCAGATTATGCGTTCATGAAACGAAATAGGCGTAGCAGAACGCGCGCGCGCGCGCCGTATTTGAATCGTCAAAACCAAGGGTCATGCATCAGTTTCCGCAACAATGAATTAATTTGTGGCTGGTATAGTACCTCTACGTATGCTTTAGACAAGCATCCTACAAAGTAGAATATTACCTTATACTATGCAAAAAGTGCAGGATTAATATGCTCCCTATGCACATTATAGAGTTCGTCAGTACTCAAGAAAGCGGCAGGGAAGTGACTGCTCATTGTTGGCACTCCTGGTTGTAAGC